CAGACCCATAAAGACTGAGCCCAGACGCCCCGAGGCCCTGAAGACTGAAGACCTCAAAGCTCCAAAGCCTGAGAAACCTAAGCCCTGAGTTTGCTGGTTTCAGGGGCTGGGATTTATAGAACCCGTGGCTTCCGGTAACCCCGCAACATAATCCCAGGAGCATATTTCCTTATAATCCCCTAGGAAACTGGACAGGTGGGGAGCTAGGTCGAGATCCCAGGTCTGACTCTCTGCGCCCATGAAGTCTGCAGGTCCCAGAATCAAACATATGTCATGCAATAGTCATAAGAGGATTAGGAAAAGGTAGATACTTTGGGTTGAAAGTAGATGTTAGAATCATACTTATGCTAGAGGCTGGAGGCAGGGGTGAGCGATTCAACTTGCCAAGTTTCAACCAATGTCTTGGCTCGCCAGGCGCGAGTAGAACAGCTGGCAAGAAGATTGCTCATGTTGAAGCGGGTTCTTTTCGGACTTCGCCATGGTATATGCGACTATGGGGTTGACGCAGCGGTTGTTCAAACGAACCTTGAAGCTACACAAAAGAGCGGGATTCAGAAGTGCACATGAAAGGATAAACTGCATACTCTACGCCCAGAGCCAGAGTGCACACTCAACTGCTTGGCTCTCCACCCTACCTTAGGCCCTAAGATCCTTGTCCTCGGAATCTAGGGATTAAACCGTAAAACTCATTAACCCGAGCCCCAAACAAGAAGTCGAGACTCTCATCTCTTTAGTTTCCAAAATGAGACCTCAGATATCGAAGCAGCGCTGTACAAAAGAAGCTAGAAGCCGAACTGCCAGGGTTCGGTTCACATGTCAGATATCGAAGTGCTGCGAGGTCTTCGGAGACCGTGTCAGCAGCCTCGGCAAGCCGCCTGCGCCCAAGATATTACGGTTTAGGGTTTAGGGTTATTCCCCTAGAAACTCCAAAAAAGTGCTCTGAAGGAAGATTCCTTCACTTGAGCTTGAAGCGTCTCGCTAACGAATCTGAGAACGTCATGCTGCGATCGACGGTACACTCTAAACCCGAAACTTTAGGATTCAGGATCCTCAGAGAATACTCAGACCGCCTGTCAACCATTAGTGTGGAACTTTGGCTCTTTTCAATCGCCGCACCACCCTTGAATCCTAAGCCCGACCTGCAGCGGAAAAGACCTACCTTTTAAGCGTTCCGTATTATGGTTTCTACCCCAAGGGTCCTAGGTACTGTTATGGGGGATACCTCCCCAAATCGTAATGGTAGCTCTTAATATAGAAACCCTACATTCTACTATATAGGTACTTTGGACCCTTTGGGCTATAAATAGCTCCTTGAAACGGTGAGGCTTTTGGGCCACAGGTAGAAGCGTCAACTTTCAGTCACACACCGAAGAGTAGCGGCCTGAGTTCCGACGGAACCAGACGCAACGCGCCCAAGACCTCTTGACTCGGAATATCCCTTACACAAGAATTAGACATACTATATGATACCGTATATAATATATCCCTTGTGCATATATATATATATATCTTTATCTATCTATCTATCTATCTATCTATCTATCTATCTATGTGTTACCCTTGTTTCGTATATGGAGTTTGTGGTTTGGGGCAGATTTCAGCTTGCTCTGTGATCCAAATTCATTAACTGATCCCCAGTTTTCTTTCTCTCTGGGAAGGGACGGGAGCAAGCTTCTGTCAGGTTATATCTTCTCATTCATGTGACAAGTTGAGAACTCGGTGCTCTGTTTAGCCAACAAAACCGCAGCACATTGATGGATGTTCCCGGGCTACCTTCGATTCACGCCTAAAGAGCACTGCAATGGAGAACTCATGGGATGGTCAATAAGGCTTTAGGCACCCTCCCGAAGACGCAATTACCTTGCATTACAGGCTCAGGGAGGTGCGGTCTTCGAGGAGCAGCACCTGAACCCTAGGGCCAAAACCCCACAACTCCAATATAGTATCCTTGCAAAGTAGTACCGATATAATCGGTAACCTCATACCAGTAGGGGAACCCATAAGCCCCAATATGGCACGCTAAACTCTCAACCTGTAAACCCCAACACGTAAAGAAGGATGGGTCCTCACATTGCCGTAGTCTTCTTAGGTACAAGGAGGTCGTGGTGTACGACAAGGACGTATCAAACCTGACAGATTCAAAAGCGCAGGCTTCCGGGTTGAAGAGCCAGCACGGTTCAAGGTTCTCAGGGCACTTTGGGTTTTGGAGTTTACGGCTAGGGAGGCTAAGGGTTTATTTCTGCCTAAGGCGGCTAGGGGTTGCAAAATCATTTGGGTTTGGGCCGGGGCTTGGAGGTCATGGCAAGGTCACAAACAGGACTTGCCGGTCATGTGTGTGTGTATAAGTAGGGTTGTAAGATCGCAATGTCAACCATAAGTTGCCTTGTAATGCCATATACGAAGCCCTAAACCCTAAACCCTACAAGCCCTAAGTCCCTTATCTCTTTAAGTACTAGCAAAGGCTATCGCCGATAATCCTGTAGGGCCCTTCCTTTGAGGGCAGGAGTTTGTAAGGGTTGCATCGCCTTCGTTGTCAGCACCATTCAGCACATTGTCCCCAATAGAACACGAGAGCTGTTTGTTTTTACGGTTGAACTTGTCAGTGTACCGTATTTTCGATTATCTATAACCTTTAGCCTCACTTATGACCATCGAGGTTTTGCGCCAAGTTTTGGCAGGCTTTTGCTTGAAACCTGAAGCTGTGCGGAACCCCTCCGGCCCCCCCCATGTAAACGCTGAACAGCCCTCTTTTTGGGCATCATGTCTATGAGCAGGACCAAGTTTTTCCCGAGTACCTTCTCGTGTACTCGCGCAGCTACGGCTGAAGCTTGTTTCTGTGGAGAGTGGGCGGAGCAAAGAAACCTCCACCCGCCCAACAGCACGGGTCGAGCTGCGATATTCCAGAAGCTTGCGTTAAGGGTTGCTCACAGAACCCGCCCCTCTGACAGAGCCCAACTGGAGATCATCCATCGCACCCCCGAGCGGCTGCTATTGCTGCTGAGTAGTCTTGTATATCTGAAGCAACAGAGTACTGGATGAGACAAGAAATCATCGTCTCGAGTCCAGTCAGATTACTTTGATGTCGGGGCCCAGACAGTACTACCGCAAGTGGTTCAAGCCTTAAGGTGACGAACCGCCAGAAAAGGATCCGTAGCCTAAACGCCGTACATCGGGAGTCCTTCAGACCTTCGTAAATGGTGTGACCCTGTTTGTATCAATTTCAGTGTACTGGAGCTTTGTGGTCTTAACTTGAATCGATTCCGGGGGAACGTTTGGGATGTTCAGGGACCCTGGTCTACAGGCGGTACAAAGGGGGCTTTCCCGATTTGAAAGAACATCACCACGTAAAACATCGTGCTTGCAAGTGCGCGGAGGTTATAGGTAAAGGCCAGGAAACCGTGAAGGCGACCGAAGCTGAGGAATCAGCGCTCGAGTAAAGAATCACATGCCTGCCAGCCGGGTCGCCCGCTTCCAACCATGTGGGCAGCTTTCCCAAGCATGGGTGCCACGAGAAGCCGTGAGTGGTCCCTTCTTTAATTAGGCTGACGAAGAGTCGCATGAGCCCACATGGAAGGAAGCGTGGTGCCGAGAGAGTTCCACAGGCAGATGCGGTTGTCCCGGGTGGTACAGAAAGAGCGAGAGAGGGCGGTGCTAGGCACCCCCAACACAGGCACTGTCCTTGCGAAGTAGGAGGCAGAAAACCCTCCAGACTCCAAGAGTCTGTAAGCTCCAGGCCCACAGCCCATCAAGTTTTAGGCTGTAGTGCTAAGTTCGGCTCTGGGATTGAAGTCCCTTCCGATATCGCCTTGCGTACTTTGAGTCATGCTCTCGACCAAGTCTGCTAGAGACAGTGAACCCACTATATACCCCAAGAGCAGAGTGTTGAATGGTTTTTCATAGGTTTCATAAGGGTTCTATCGAACTGCGGACCCTGGAACCCTGAACTGAAGGTGCAAGCCTTCTGGATTGCAGAGTTGTAACCACAATTGTGGTTTATGAGTCTTGGATACAGGAACAGCTCGACGCCATACCCTGAGGGGCCATGTACCCAAATAGTATATATATATATATATGTATATATTCATATATACTCATGGTATCTACGGCTTGGGTACATGGACCCTTAGGGATAGTTACCCTCCGTACTACCTCCCGCGTTCCTTCAGATATACGTCCGACTCGAACCCTGCAACGTCTGCAGAGCAGGAGGTGGAAGTTGAGATTTTACACTCCTGCGGGTTTAGGGCTTAAGAGTGTCTAGGCTCTAGACTACGGTTTGGGGTTCAGGGGTTTGGGACTAAAAGTGTCTAGACTAGGGTGAGATATGGAAGTGTCATAGGCTTCCCGAAGAAAGGCGCCTGCAGAGATGCTGGGTCTTTGGCAAAGGTGGTTGAGGTGATCCTGAAGCGGGACTTTCTGCAAAGGTACATCGTGCATGTATTTCACTTACACTGCAGTACGTTCGGAGTCGAATGGATGATGCAGACACGTAGTAATCTTAGTCGGCGAAAACCAGAAACATGTTTTCTATGATAGCAACGACCCTCAAGCGCACCAACAATTGCAACAACTGCCACGTGTGAACATGGATGGGTTTGGAGCAGGAAGCCGTGGCGTTTTGTGACTAACTATAGGCCGGGGTTGGAATTACTAGTAATATATACTGCAAGTACTATTCGAGGCTCGAGTTGGCTGCTGCCTGCAAAGCCTTTCAAACGGGTAGACTTCTGACTACAAGACTGCTTACCTCCATGTGTCAATACCCAGAAAGATAACGTGGACGTACTCAAACAGCAATCAAAACTCCTGCAACCTCGTCTCCTCCATGACCCTATCAGCCGTCGAAGCACCCAGAGAACCTAAGACTCCGAAGACTTTGAGGGGTCAGATCGCAGCAAAACCCAGCCAAAGCAAGCATCAAGACCACTTCTGCCACTTAGACCCCAGACATCCCCAGACCCCCACTTTTTTTCGAAGGTCTAGGCCCATTCCATCCGGCCATGGCGCAGAAGCCACCCGTGTCCTTGCCTCTCTTGCCTTTGTCGCTGCACCCGACACGGTCGACCGCGGTGTGGGCCGTGGGGCGTCCAACGGCTTCATTCGAGCTTTGCTTTCTGCATCTAGGGTTTACGAGCTCTTTTGGTGGATAGGGTTATTCAGGGTGCATTAAGGTGAAAGGTTTCGGGCGCAGTAGTAGTGATTGATCTCTTAATTAGTTCATTTGCTAGGTTCTTGTGCGCATGACCCCTTGATGGATCTCACGGCCGCCCGGTTCACCGAGGCTTCCTCTTCGCTTACGACCTCCAGCTTTGCACCTGGCAGGTGCGACGTCGCGAGCTGCATGGTGAGGCCGGGCTGGTTTCGGGTTGAGCATTGTAGGCTTGGAGCAGGGTTTACATTTCAGGCTGAGCAGCATCCACATCCCACTCAGTCTGGAAGCCAGTAGGTTAACAGAACTGCCCCTTGATAGTGTATGATAGTGTGAACTTGAAATAAAGCCCTAAAGGACTTGCCCCGCAAGGGCCTTTGTTTTTGCTTGGGGGTGCGATGGAGTTCTCTGTCCAACTGTAGTCCTATCCAACTGTAATCCTTGCAGATTTGTGGTACGGGGATGCGAAGAATTACAAATAGTGTTCGTGCATTTGTCCCTGCATAATTACATCCCGACACCCCATGTCCAAGTACCAGTGGTAATTACCAAGGCTCTATATCTGAAGGCCTGAATTTGCTTTTGCCGTTTGCCCTAAGGGTCCATGTACCCAAATAGTATATACGTTGGCCCTAAAGCACTTATATGGGGACTACATTAAGGCCAAAGTATGTACTATTTGGGTACATGGACCCTTAGGGTTGGTAAGGTTTAGGACTCCAGCATTGTGACCTAAGTTCCTATGGCGGAGTTCCAGGGGAAGTTTCAGAGGAAATCGACGGCAGAAACTCAGAGCTCTGAAAAGCATATCGAACCCCAATATACCATATATATATATATACACATATATATATATATACACATACATACACATAACTCTCTCTGTCTAGATATATATATATATACACATATATATTTATAATTATATATATATATGCATATTTATTTATTATTATTTATTCATAGTAAACATATATATATATATA